TTGCCTACCTAGTTCCCTGATGTTGTCAATGTCGACGATACCTAACAGAAGATGAAATGGAATAGTTTTATTATTTACTTTATGCTTTTTAAGTATTAATTAGACTATATGTCAATTTGTGTGGTGACTTTTATTTAAAATATTTTAGTTTGTGTGGTAAAATTTAAAATGTTATTTAAAAACACATGGTTTAATTTTTTTTTTTTCACTCATGGCCCTATTGTATATAACTGACACGAACAAAACAAAATTTTGGGTGGGATATTTCCCGCGACTTGGATTCAAAAAAATTAAAGGCGCACAAAAATTGACGGAGGAAAATTTTGTGGTGGTTTTTGGATATTTTTGTCAGTTATAACCAACACAAACCTGACATGCATATTAAATAGGCGGGCGCTTGTCAGTTAGGTTGTCAGATATAACCGACACCATTTACTTTATTGTTGGTCATAATCGACATTATTCTGACATCTATAAATGTACCGTTCTGACATACATAAATGCACTGTACTAATAGAAACATAAAAGCTCTGTCGGATTTTAATTTCCTGGCGGATATAACCGACAAAATTTATTACCCTCAACTACTTCCCATGTTTACTTCAGTCGTTCCTCTTTTTTTCCCATTTTCACTTCAGTCGTTCTCATGTTTCCCATTTTCACTCCTTCCCATTCTTGCTTTCAGCCATTTTTACTCCTACCCATTTTCACTTCTACCCATTTTTACTTATTTTCCCTTTTCTATGGATGAACAAAATGAGCGTAGGACCCGCGAAGCTGCTATTCCGAAGTGGAAAGAGAGACAACTTTGTCTATTTGATTCGACAGGGAAATGTGTTAGTGAAAATGTCGTTGAATTTTTGAAATTGATAGCCTCGAATGTTAAGGCTCCAAGACATATTCCATTGAAGAAGGATTGGCGCTTGGTTGCTGAAAATGATAAGGAAGTTTTGTGGGAAAGAATTAAAGTATATATTTTCGTTTTGTACATCTATATTTCAGGACTATATTTCGGATTTGTACTAACATGTTTGTTTTTATGAATATAGGGGAATATCATTTTTCTTGATGAAGACCGTGACAAAATGCCATTGATTCGTAACATGACTCTCCATGTTGCAGATCATGCTTACAAGGAATACCGTAATGGTTTAAAAGCGGAGTATTACACCCAAAGACAAGAGCATGAGTGCTCAGAACCTCCCCCTGGTGTGGATGGTGGTCAGTGGGCCAAGATGTTAGCGTATTGGGATAATCCTAAAACAAAGGTAAAAAATTAATGATTTGATATTTGGTATTTGGTATTGAAATATGTTTGTCTTGTAAGGTTTTTTTTTTACTTTTCAGGAGATGGTAGAGAAAAACAAGTATAATCGGGAGTTAAATACGATGAACCATACAACTGGTCCAAAAACGTTTGCTCGGGTTCGTGAGGAATTTGTATGTGTTGCTAATTTGTAACATATGTAGTCTTTTTTATTTTTGTATTTATAATCTGGGGTTAATATGTATTTGTTGTTCTCTTTTAACATATTTAAAGAAAAACGAGCATGGGAAAGAGCCCGATCCCGTCTCTTTTTTTCGAGCTACCCATACCCGGAAAGATGACTCTTGGATTGATGAATCGTCACAACAGAGAGGGGTAAATGATTTATAACTCTATTCGGATTATGACTATTTGTATTTAATTCTTATTTATCTTTCTATTGGATTGATAAATCTGTGTTCTAACACATTATTTAAACAATAATATTGCATTTGTTAGAACACATTATTTAAACAATAATATTGCATTTGTTAGAACACATTATTTAAACACATACTCTGTGTTTTTTAAGAACCTTGTTTATCTTTCTGTTTGGATTGATGACATTGTTTTTATGAATCTTATTTATTTTTTTATAATAATCCTTTATTATTTTGTTTAAATATTATATTGCAAGGCATCTAGGGAGAGTCAAATTTAGTCAATTATCGAGTCTGGAGAAGAGGACACCTCTGAGGTTAGAACATAGATTTATGTTGTGCAGATGGGTTCTGAGACTAGAAATAGGGTTCGAGGTTATGGTCATGGGTGATACTAGAGATGGTGTCATATGCAAGCTCTTCAGGTGCTAGGTCTTCCAGGAAATTATCCAGGAGTGCATTGACCAATGTGGTAGTTGAGAACAACGAATTAAGGAGGAGGGAGGAAGAAGCCTCCAGAAAGTTGGCAGCGGTAACAGTTGAGCTTGAGAAATCAATGGCCCTGCAGTAGCAGGTAAACTAGTAGCAGCAGGCGATGAACCAGCAGATGACGATGCAGCAACAACAAATGTTGATGTTGCTTATTCACAACATCTGCAGCAGCCACCACTCAGCCCTGAGGCATCATAGCATTCGGCCCCCAGTCTGCCACCTGTGCCTGCATATCCCATGAAGCATATGCCTTTTCAACCGTAGTATCCAATGCCAGTATATCGACCTCAGATGGCTTCTCCCGGTGACTCACATATTTTCCAGGTGTTTTCAATGGTGGACTATCCCCAGGTTTGTTTTTCAGATTGCTATTGGGTAGTTTTGATGGGGATGTGATGAGGTATTTGCAAGCACATGAAGGATTGGCAGAAGGCTTTGGATCACAGAGAGGATTGACAGAAGGCTCTGGAGCACAGGGAAGTTTGGTAGAAGGCTCGGGTTCTATTGAATAGTTTGTTGGTTTTCCTTACGGCTATGTCTGACACTTTATCTACTTCGGACAAATATTTTTTGCCTAGTTATGTATTATGGCGGATTCAGATGACCATATTATAGGTTAATTTATATTTAACGTCTACTTTATGTGTTATGGTGGATTCAAAAGACATTATTGTAGGTTAATTTATATTATGTTTGTTACGAGCTTTGTTTATTTTATTCACTCATTGATTTTTTTTTTTAATTCTGAAACAAGTTCTGTCGATTTTAGAGTATTTTCTGTCGGAAAATTAATTTCCTGACGCTGGCAATTCTGTCGCTTATTATATCCACCACTGCATCCATTTTCTATCGGATTTTGCTTAATATCCGACAGTAATATATGTTTTTTGTCGGTTATTATAACGACACTAATAAATGATTTTGTAGTAGTGAGTGATTTCTTAAAAAGCAAATAAGTTTTTCAGAGTACATTTTTTTGTTGGCACATTGTTACTTCGTAATACGAATTCACAAATGTTATAACTTAGTATATATTAAGTTCAAACATACGTTTGGTTGTTCGAACATCACTCAAGGAGCCTAGAAAAGACTCTCGAGTGACTATATTTTCTACATTTTTAGTACAAACGATATTCTATACCCAACTGCATAAAGGATTGAAACCCGAAACGCATTGAATTAAAGTAAAAACGTTGACCACTAGAACAATTCAACACTTGAAACTATTTATTCTAGAAGGCCCGCTTGAGAACTTGGGGGCCATAAACAAGTTTTCAAAGTAGGGTCCTAAAATTCTCTGCGACTCTTTATACAAGTATATGTATAGAATTCGATAAATACATGAAATTTTTTTTTCTACATCAAATATCCTTAAAAAGTAGCAAACACAATAATAATTTCAAACATTAGAAAGTAGCGAATACAATAATAATATCAAACTATAGGACCATTATCATACCAGAGAAAAAAGTTCCGAACAACTGAAAAAGGAAAGCTATAAACAAAAATAAAAATAAAATAAAAAAATAAAAAGTAAAAAAGAAAAGAAGGAAGATAAAATTCTCTTTTCATTACCTTTTCAATTTGCAGGCAAGAGTCTAGAATTGATAATTTGGGTGTTTTGTCTATTTGAGAAGGGAACCGATTGTAATAAGCAAGGCTTTTAGAATGAAAATTGTTATTGGCACTTCAAAAATCTCATTCTACACTTCAAACTTTCTATATTTGGAAAGAAAAATACACTTGTAAGGAGTGTAAAATGAGATTTTTGGAGTGCCAATAACATTTCCCTTTAGAATTTGGTGTTTGTTTCGGGATGCGACAATGGACATAGAGTTTGGTTGTTTAGGGTTTGGTGTTTGGCAATATAGGGAGTGCGACAAAAAAATAGTAAATAAGTCTGTTTTTCAAGTTAATAAAAATAAGTTTGAGTTACTTGACGTTTTAACTTTCACATACGAAACAGGTTTATTGTTTTTCTTCAATTAATCATATAAAACAATTAAACATTACAAATGCTGAACTCGCCCACTCACTCGAATTAGTTATTGTATCCATACAAAGACTCAAATTGATGGCTTCTCCAGATTTGGGAACCTGGCGGCCGTCTAAGAAGACTATCTTCTGGGGCCGACGCCCTAATACTAGATTAGAAAACATCCACGAACAAAAACGTGCCAATAAACAAAATTCGTTTTCCAAAATTCCCAAATAGCTCCCATAGTACATGGTACAATAAGCCGTCCCCCAATATTTTATATCTAAGTGCATCTTGAAATGAAATATCAAATTTAAAATGTCAAATTTCAATTTGATGAATGACTTGGCAATTTGACATATTATCAATTTTTTTTTCCACTCGATATGCCAAAATTTATTGTTTCATTTATGTTTTTTTTAAACAAAAATAATAAAAGTTTGGTTGTTACTGATTTAAAAATAATACAATAATACTTAAATATACTAGCATTTAAGGTAAGACAAGTGGAATACCTTTAGAAATAGCAAAAACCATATTTGAAGCCAGTTTCAAATTTGACATCTCTTTGTCCATGTCAGTTTAGCCTTATTTTCTATGTCAATATTAACATTTTGGTTGGAATAACTAATACGTTATTTGTTACTGTTATATGTTTATATGGTATTTTTGACATCCGTTTTGAAGATAATCAAGCCTCAAGGTAAAGAGATTCCTTACTAAAGATTATCGCACGCGGTGTCGTAATCTTCCCAACGCGCACAGTGACGCGTTTTCCACTTTTACTCGGTGCGTCCGTCTTTTCTTAATCGGTCCCCGATTAATTCCCGCGCACCATCTCATCGAGTCAACCCATCTCATAATATTCAACTAAACACCATCCGACCCCAGTTTAAATCACGAACTTCTCATCCATCACCAATAAATACCCCAATCCGATCACAACCCTATTCCAAAAACAATCAGAAATATTTCCAAGTCTAATTGATCATCGTTGCTTGAGAGTTTCTCTGACTAATTAATCAACGACATGTCTTATGCTGTACCGGTGCCGGCGGCAGGGCCGAGCGCACAGCCACTGGCGAACCCGGTGACGGTGGTGAGCCCGCAGTTCCTCGCGGCATACCCGGTGGACCTGGTGATCACGGAGAAGATGATGACCATAAAGGAGGGTGCGTTTACTGTGTCCGATGTCAACGGCAACCTCATGTTCAACATCAAAGGCTCACTTTTCAGCCTTCACGACCGCCGCGTGTTGGTGGACAACGCCGGTAATCCAATCGTCTCTTTCCGACAAAAGGTATCCTACCAGTTATACCACTCCTAATTTTACCATGCATCATTCTATAATTTCTTACCTTTTCTTCAAATTTTTTTGAAGTTCACATTTTCTTTCCAAAAGTGGATGGAAAAAATCAACTTAGTTGACGGACTTGAACAAATTTCTTACCTTTTTTTTTAAAATAAAAAATCGAAGTTCAACAAGTTTTAAAGTTCAAAATTGTGCCATAATTGACGAATTTGAACAAAATAAAAGCAAACTATGCAATAAAATAAGGGAATTTTAACGAAAAGGTCTTCGTACTATTTATTTTAATAAAAAATTATATTTTTATACTTAAAAATCAATCCTGGTACTATTTATTTTACTTTTTATTTTGTCTTAAAACTCAAAGTTTTTAAACCATTCTCGTTAGTTTTTCTATAAAATAATTATAGGGACGAAAGTGAAAATTCAAATAGATTACATAAGTATGATTGTAATTTGGCCTCTTCCGAAGGATAATTCCCAAATTAAGAAGATGAAGTCGCCGGTTGGGTCAGTTCAACCAAGACAAAGGCATGGGAGTCTTTGTACATCTCATAGTGATGCAAAAATCAAATCTTCATAATACTTTGACGTTGACTCGTTTTTCTTTTCTTTTGCTAATTTTGGTCAATGAAACTTGTCGTGTTCACTTAATTTTCTTTTCTTTTGCTAATTTCTGTTAATGAAATGTGTCGTGGTGCACTAACTTACTTATGTATGTTGAATGCGATCAAGTAACACTTTAAGGTAAATACCCTTCCGATCGAGTAGGATCAATAGTTCCGCATTTAGGAATAACATTTAGCAAAAAAAATGTACATTCAAATAATAGTTAAGAAAATCTTAAAATGATTAAATGAAGTGAATACGATAGATGCGCAAGAAAAGAAAGCTAGAAAATCTAAAGATGGACCCTTTTAATTTGTTGGAAGGATGGAAATTCAAAGTTAAGAAAAGGAAGGAAAATACTTGTTCTTGTTGGTTTGCTTATTTTAATCGGATTCTTTTTTGTTGGTTAAGATAATGACGGCTCATAGGAGATGGCAAGTATATAGAGGAGAGAGCTCAGACTCGAAAGATCTACTTTTCAGTGCCAAGAAGGCATCTCTTTTGCAGTTCAAGACTGAATTAGATGTGTTCCTGGCCGGTAACACAAAAGAAGACAACTATGATTTCAAGGTCAAAGGAAGTTGGGGGGAGAGATCTTGCACCATATACACTGCAGACAACACCATCATTGCTCAAGTAAGAATTTTACTAATCATTCATCAATTTAGCGCTTCAATATTGTGTTTGCTTGATTACTGAGGCGGTACAACGATATATTTATATGATGCATATGCATGATTCTAACGTGTGCATGTGTTCTTATTGTTGAATGCAGATGCATAAGAAGCATGACATCAAGAGCCATTTCTTTGGAAGAGATGCATTTGGAGTGACGGTGTACCCTAATGTCGATTACGCCTTCATAGTCGCTGTTGTGGTCATTCTTCATGAGATTAATATGGACAGAAGTGGGCTAGACTGAAGCTGTGCTTTATTTCTGTTGAATAAATTGATGATGTCTGTTGTAATGACTTTATTTCTGCTGTGTTTTCTAAAAACTTGCGAATGTATGATGATTTGGATCTTTACTATTCTGTGATCATGAGTTTTCATTACAAATGCGATTTGTAACTTGTTTGAGATTATTTGTTTCTTGTTACAACTACGTCGGAATTTTTCAAAATTTTTATGGTAATCAAAATATGTGAGCTTGATCTCCCCCATCTGTATGATTCTGACTATTTATGTCATTTTCCTTGACCGGCTCGTTCTAACAGTAGGATGTTTTTTCATTGTCACGAGCACTAATCTAGTGTTCGTCTTTTTTAATAAGTGAAAGATATAAATTTGATCAACTCTACATATTTGATGACTAATTATGATTGACTTATTGTGTCGAAATTCTCACACTCCAATATCAGTGTGTCTAAAACTAAAAGAAATCCACTATATTGTCCTCATACAACGAAAAGTAACTCTTTCAACTATATTCCAAATATGCATCCCATGAGCAAAGGCTCACCCTATTGTGAAGGGTTGTGGTCCCATATGCGTCCATGTCAATATAAATGTTAAGGTTGATTATCTTTTGGTATGCCGGATCGTGTTTGTCGTATTCATGTTACTTTGTGTTATAGTTATTATTTTAATAGTTCGTGTCGTGTGAGATCCGTTATCTTAACAAGTGATTCGATAATGACTTGATTCGTGAACGGGTCGTGTTGGGTTAACGGGTCATGCAAGAAATTGCATTACTTTAATGTCTTGATTTGGAAAACAATATCTTATCGGATGATTCGATAATGATTCGACTCGTTAACAGATTGGCAAAAAATCTATTATTTTTGTGTCATTTTGTGTGAAGTTAACCAGTTGTACAAAAAATTGTCATACCTATCTTTTGTTACAGCTTGTTCTTTTAGACGCATGTGTTTACCCCACCTTTAATTTTACTAATTTAGTACTTATATCTTTTAAAATTCGCTCAATCAGCCAACCTCAAATCCAGCAAGCCTACAAAGCCGCACGCTTTCTCGAAGCTCGTTGTCAACTCCTGCTGCTTGAGTGGTTGGCGTTTTGCCCGATATACCCCTACACGTGACACACATGGTGTTATTTTTAGATGAAATTGCGAGTGGTGTCCCTTCTACTAAAACAACCAATTATGCATGCTGTGTTAAACTCAAGGACTCGAATTTACATTCTCGAACTAACTGGCTCAAAGATCAAGGCCTTTCTTTTTTTTTTTTTTTTTTTTTTTTTTAGAATTATTATTAAAAAGAGAAGTGAGTTTGAAAATATTACAAATTTACAATAATAAAGAGGAGTTGAAAAGTTTCGGATTTGAACTGAAATGGGCTAATCAACTCAAATATGAAGGCTCAAAACTCTTCCTGATACCTTATCCGTCCATATAAAGATTTCTCTATGAACAATACAACTACAAACCCTTGCTCATCAAATCGTCTTTAGATCGAATGAAGTGAATAAAATAGATGCACAACCAAAAAAAGCTATAAAACCTAAAGATGGACCCTTTTAATTTGTTGGAAGGTATGGAAATTCAAAGTCAAGAAATGGAAGGAGAATACTTGTTCTTGTTGGATTGGTATGTTATATTAATCCAATTCCTTTTTGTTGGTTAAGATAACGACGGCACATAGGAGATGGCAAGTATATAGAGGAGAGAGCTCAGACTCGAAAGATCGACTTTTCAGTGCCAAGAAGGCATCTCTTTTGCAGTTCAAGACTGAATTAGATGTGTTCTTGGCTGGCAACGCAAACGAAGATAACTATGATTTCAAGGTCAAGGGAAGTTGGGGGTGAGAGATCTTGCACCATATACACTGGAGACAACACCATCATTGCTCAAGTAAGAATTTTTACTAATCATTCATCAATTTCGTGCTTAAATATTGTATTCGATTGATTACTGAGGCGGAACAACGTTGAATTATACGATGCATATGCATGATTCTAACGCGCGCATGCGTACTTATTGCTGAATGCAGATGCATAAGAAGCATGACATCAAGAACCATTTTTTCGGAAGAGATGCGTCTGGAGTGAGCACAAGTTTTGATTCCCCAGATATAGTTGATATTTTTGCCCACGATTCAGCAACACATACTCTTTCATCACCCACATGTCATAACGAACAAAAATATATGGTCCCATACTCTCATGCTTCTCGAAAAAAGCAAGGGACTCCTTGTAAATTGAAACATGGCAAATTTGTTTTAACACTTGAGGTTCCGGTGTACAGCTCGTCGGCCTCCTCAAAACTGCTTTCGGCATTGCAATCTTGCCAAATAGTTCAGTGGACATATCAAATGACACGATCAACTTCTCGTCAAAAAAGTCTCTATGAATCCAATGCAGAGCACCGTTTACAAAAGCATGACTTTCATCACAAGTAAAAATTCCGGGCGAGAAGTCTCTAGGAATAACCGGACCTCTGAGGCTCTTCCAGGAGCCCCTAGCTAAGGACCAAATCTCAATTTTGCATGACAATCTGGTAATTGTACTATAACTCACAGTTCTCAGAACCTTATAGTCATTGTTACGCAAATCGAAGCCAAAGGCATATGCTTCACTTCTCCGAACCTTAAGAGTCCTTGTTACTTTTTAAGGTAACACTGGGCGGAGGTAAAATCACAAACTTTCTAATCCAAGGGTTCCAAAGTAATATTCTGGTTTTGTCAATAAGGAGGCACACCAGCCCGTTGCAAATTCCGACCAACTCACAACACCGACGTTTTACATCTGAATCCATCGTTTTATTATCACCTTGGGGTTGGGGGAGAGTAGCAGTGCTAGTACTAGGTCTATTAACTTCAACATAAGCTACAAATAATAGTTTCGTAAGGTTGAAATACTCACTAGTTGAATTCGGAGTGCCATCCCTCTTGGCCGAACAATGTATGAGGAGCTGACCACCGTCGTTCTGGCCGTTTGGTTGGATGATTGAACGGTATAGGTGGGCGTGAATGAATTTACGGCTTCGGATTAGACACCTCCATGACTTGCACACCCCAGTGAACTTGATAAGAGATCTGGCGGGCAACCTCCGCAGGATTTCGTGCTCAATGTCTTCAGGAAAAACTTGCTCATATCTTTGTCTTTTGTGTGGTATGATTTTTTTAGGAATATCGTCCACTGAGATTGCTTCCGTCCATTTTCCTTTTGATCTGGATCCTTCAACGTTGTCCACTGACATCGGTTCTGTAATGAAAATACAATGACAACCAATAAGGGAATGTTTGGTGATGGACTTCCAAATTCTAAGACATTTAGGCAAAATGAAGAAGAAATTAATCACAAAAAGTTATAAAGAAGGAATTAGAAAATGCATCTCATAAAGTTACGTGATTGGCAGTGGCAAATTCAGGATTCTAATATCGGGTGATCCTAATATAAAAGCTCTGATGAAAATAACATTGAAAATTTAGACAATCAACTACCAACTTCATAATCTTTGAACAAACAACATTACAAGCTACAACAACTAAATTTGTGAGGTTTCATACTCTAAAAACGTATCATGATAGTTTCATTGTTAATATAAGAATGACAAGGTTTCATACTCTAAGAATGTGTCATGATAGTTTCATTGTTAATATAAGAAGAAAAAAAAATAGATGGATGATGGTTTGGAACTATTCAAAATTGGAGTTGAACTATTCGAAATAGGATTGAAACTATTTAAAATTGGAGTTGAACTATTTGGAAGAGTATTGTCTGAACTAATCGATGATGATTTTCACTTGTAATATCGTTCCATACTTCTAATTCTACACATCAATTAATCAAAACAAAAAACCATATCAATTGATGAAGCTAAAAAATATATATGAACTACCCAACACATGATCCAAACAATATAAAAAAATCATAACAGACAATAACTATAATCTATTATAAATTTAAAATTTTCATCCAATGCACATCACATTTAAAATCTTGTATGATTAATCTAGACAGATGGAGCGTGTAGCAGCTTGTAGTGGCCTGGGAATAAGTTGAGTGTAGGGATGCACAATGGTTATGGTGGGCGGGTAACCGCGGTTATTTACCCATAACGTTTATACTTATACCCGCATAACCGTTTACCCGTTGGGTAATTGCCTAAACGGTTATACTCATATCCATAACCGTTTATAAATGGTTAACTACACCCATAACCGTGTACCCATTTAACCGTAACCGTATACCCATTTGCCCGTTTATCCATTTTTTAACCCATTTACACCTTTTTGCTCCTATTTACATATTTTTTTTAACCGTAACCTCATACAACTTCAATAATTGAAATAATAAAGACGAACGATAGTTTTAATCAATCAAGGTAATATAATATAATTGCTAATAATCGATTTTTTACTAACAAAATACCTCTCATTACTTGAGCAAGCATATTGGAAAGAAAATTCATGTATTTTCAACATATTTTTCTTCTATACCCAAGCAAATATTCAATTATAACATCTATATGATTACAAAATAAAGCTTTTAAAAACTCAAGGTAGTCATTACCTTGAATAATAGATGATTCAAATCTCCAAAATATTTCAAAACTAAACACTTTCGAACACTAATGCTTTAAGCACATTCAATCACAAAGTCTCATCGACTTGTTATCACCAAAAGAGACCTAAAAAAGAAATGTATAAATTCAATTAGTATCCCAAAAGAAATGTATTTAACCAGAGGTGTTGGCATATAGGAGGAAATATCTATGAAGGATCAAAAAGGATAGCTAGCATTGAGTCAGGTATAACTAGTGAATGTGACCTCAGATTATACATCGGATTCGTACCACAGGTCCACAACCGGGTCCCATGGCAGCAATTTAAAAGTGAATTAAACATACCAATCAGATTCATCACCTAGCTACTAAAATTAACGGGGTCCTAGCCTCCTGGCGGAGAGAACGAACAGGTTACAGTCTTACAGATTTGGTTGTTTGTCTTTTTAATTTTATATATCTATTAAAATAATCAGGTAATCATTATAATCGCAATTAATACTCATAACCGTCCATTTAAATTTCACAGGTAAACGGTTATACCCATAACCATTTAATTATCTAAACAGTTACCCATAACCGTAACCGCGAAATTTAAATGGACGGATAATCACGGTTACCCATAACCGATGGCTATTTGCCCATCCCTAGTTGAGTGAGGTTAGAGGAAAACAGAAATTGGAATTGGATATTCCCAGTTCGAGGAAGTGAGGTTAAAATGAGATTGGTAGAGATCTTCAGTAGGAGGAAAGAGAATAGACTCTTATCTTTTTTTCTAATTAAAAAGGGTCTCCTTCACGTGGCTTAATAAGAAAACTTGCCAATATCCCCATGTTGGCTCTGCCAATGTTTGCATGAGACTTCACGAATGCTAGTCAATGGTACGCAAATCATAGGCTATCCAAAAGAATAAGAGCTCATTTGGAAGTACTTTTACAATGATTGAAATGATTTTTAGAGAAATGTTTTTTAAACCAATCCTTAGTAAAAATCCAAATGGATCCTGGAAAAGCACTTTTAAATGCTTACTACAAGCAGCACATATCTAATGTTTCTTCCGAAAAGCACTTAAAGTGCTTCTGGAACTCAAAATCAATTTCACCAAAAACGTTTTTAGTCATTTTAAAAACACTTCTAAACGAACTCTAATATTCTCTGTGATCAAGGTCCCTTATTAAGGTAACACTAAGCGGAGACAAAACTACAGACTTTCGAATTATAGGGTTCCTATAGGCACACGAGCCCGTTACAAGTTCCGACCAATTTGATTCACGCATCATAATCTTGGGGTGAAATAGACGAAGTAGAAGTATCTTCTGAAGAAGAATATTGCAAGCAAAAATCTTCTATTGTTTCTTTAGGTGTAAAACTATTACTAGCGGTATCTTCTAAATCAAAATCTTCAATTGGTTCTTTTTCTTCTTTGGGTACGTAAAAGAGTAGTAGAAGTAATAGCACGGGTGCGTGACATAATTTTCCCTGTAAGCTACAAATGAATTTGTAAGCTCAGAATACTTATTGAATCAAGGGCTGTTATCCAATGCAACGAGTAAGCGTCCTGTCTTCCGGACTCATCTCCAGAACTACTCGGTAGGAGGAGTTGTTGAACATCGTCATTTTCATTGTCAGATCGATCAGTGTTGCGTGGAGGTGGGTGCGAAACAAGGCAGAGCTTTGGACATGAGACCTCCATGACTTGCACACTCTGGTGATGTGATTAGGACCTCAGCAGGATGTCGTGCATGATTCCTACAGGAACGTTGTCCAATAACGTGATCACTTCCATCGATCTATGTCTTTTTTGTGGTCCGAATACTTCACGAACAACGTAGTCCGCTCGAACTGCTTCCATCCATCCGTCCATTATTCCTTCGGAAACGTTGGCTCCTGACGACGACGTCTCTGACATTTTCTTGCCCAGTCTTCATTGCAAGAAAGAGAGTTGGGTTTCTAATTTGGGGTTGGGGAGACTATATATGGACGCTCCCACCCTTACATGTTCCATATCATTTCGTTGGGCTTGGGCGGCATCGACTCCTCGCTATTATAATGAAGGCCCAAAAAAATACATTAGAAACTAGAAAATAAAAAAGAAAGTATAAGAAAAACGAACCTTCAAGTTCTGGTATTGTCGATATATCTTTTTTTTTTTTTTTTTTCTTTCTATTATAAGACAATCCCTATTTTAATTCATTATAGTCCATTAGGGGCCAAATTTAATTCTAACTCGAATGTCAAATGGTGAACACATTGTTGTAACTAACTGATCTAACTTATGTTTGTTTCTCCAACATTTTTTTGTAAAAACTCCTTGTATACCAACAACAATGTAAGAGGCATGTTTTGTGTGTGCTAAAGAGGCATTTTCCTTGTCAGAAATTATAAGAGCCATCTAATAATAGGTTTTCAACACATTTTCTTTGTCAGGAATCCTTCAACATCTTTTATAGGTCGCTGAAAATTAAAGGAGCTGGCAATTTATTTGGACTAGAATATCAGAAACACTAAAAAGTAGGAAACCGTATGATAGTAAATATAAATTAAAATTCACAAACAGATCCAATCAGAAGCATTGAACTTTGAACAAGTCAAAGAACTTGATAAAATCATCAACTGCAAACGACATTTCGATCTTTGATGTACCAATCTCTTGTGCGAGCCAGTGTTTGATAACACAATACGATGTCGTTTTCCGTGCCTGTACCCTCAGCTGGACCAAGCGCTCCGCCTCTGTCGAACCCTGTGGTTGTGGTCAGCTCACAATTCCTAGCACCGTACCCTGTGGATCTAGTCATTAGCGAGAAGCTCATGACCCTTAAGGAGGGTTCCTTCGCTGTCTCCGATGTTAATGGCGACATCATGTTCAGCGTTAAGGGATCCGTTTTCAGCCTCCATGATAAACGCATATTAGTTGACAGCGCCGGTACTCCTATTGTCACATTTCGACAAAAGGTACAAGCTGATACAATTCCCTTATACATTTTTTTTTTTGGTATTGAGGGTAATCCTTGTTTTAAATTTTTTGTGTCTTTTAATTTGTGTTTTTGGCTTAACTGATCAAGTTTTGATATTTGATTACTAAAATGATCCTTTTTAGCATGTCGTTGTTATCGTTGTGTCGTTGATATATAATTGATATGTCATCAATATTTGATTTCGATCATTTTGACCGTTAAATTTTGTGAAGATATTGACGACTCATAGGAGATGGCAAGTATACAAAGGAGATAGCAAAGATCTACTTTTCAGTGCCAAAAAGTCGGGGGTTGTTCAATTGAAGACTGAATTAGATGTGTTCTTGGCTTCTAACACAAAAGAAGACACCCATGATTTCAAGGTCAAAGGAAGTTTTAAGGAAAGATCATGCACCGTATACACCAGAGAGAACACTATCATTGCACAAGTAAGATTAATCGCATGATGTATTTTTGTAATTAATTTAAGAAAAAGAATGTTCTTTTGTAAGTGAAGAATTTATTGAAGATTTTTTTTGAATTCTAGATGCATAAGCAACTCGGCCTTAAAAGCAAAGTTTTGGGGCAAGATTCGTTTTCAGTGACGGTGTACCCTCAGGTGGATTTCGGATTTATAGTTGCTGTGGTGGTGGTTCTTCATGAGATTAATCAAGATCGAAAAGGGGAAGACTAGTGAAGCTGGTAATAGATTTTGTGTTTATTTTGTTACTTAAAATTGAATTCATAATAACCTCCTCCAAGTATATAAGTGGGAGAGACTCCACCATTATGTTATTTATATTTTTAGTCTTTTGTTTGTATAAGTTGTTTGATACGTACTGATATGACAACATCAATATGTCCTGATTCTATACATAGCTTAGAATCGAGGCGTGACATAAAAAGCTAGCAGTAGAATCTCTTTTTAATTACGTAGTTAATGAGTTGAATAAAAGTAAAATAGCCCATTGTGTGCTTGTGCTGATTAATAAGAGTTCAAGTGATGCTGCATGTGTTACAAATTTGACAGACTTGTTAATGGTGCTTTAAAAGTCTTGTGGTTGTGGCATTCTCCAGTACGTAATTGGAGGCTGATTGTATATGCATTAGTTGGGACAAATATGACTTCATTATATTCATAGTAGTGCTGCATGTATCGGAATCCTTAATTTTCTTGATGAATTTTGGAAACATTGAAAAATATTTGGGATGGCAAAGTGATAGTGACTTGTAGGCAACTAGAAAATTAAACTTCATTTGGACCCAGTTAATTAGAACAACTTTTACATTAAATGGAAGAAGTGTAAAGTCATATAAGATTAAAATATACAATCTTGTAAAAGCAACAAAAATTATACACTGATTATGTAGCGGCGCGTATACTAATCATACAATTTCAAGATTAGTTTCTCTTTACAAAACATTTGTGATTGACATGTAATGCCACAGTTGCATCTTGCATACAAATCTACGTACTTTGTAAGAAGTGTGACGTGGACATCCCTATCCTTATTTTGTTTGAGTAAATAGATACATGAAAGAAAAAAAAAAAACCTTTGACCAGCATGTTGTGTTGGAATTTAATTTAGCTGGGGATTATTGACAGACGAATGTCAATTGCAAGTTTCACGTGTTCATGATTTGAAATCGATCAAAATCCATGGACTGTTGTTTCCTTCACAATTTGTTTTGGCCTATAAACTGTAATATATTAATACGGAAAACTCCCTTCTGATTAGCTCTTTGCAGTTTTATATGCTCTTACCAACTAGATGTAGATGTTGGTAACGACTTTGCACTAAAAAAATGGATTCGTTTAACCTAATACCAAAAGGGTCACGGGGAGTTTTAACTCCATCCGCATTCCATTTCTGCATGAATGAATGGCATTGCCAGCATGCAAATCATGTTTGGGCATGCTATATCAAAAATGCTTGGAAGCCACTATCCACTATCCACTGTCCATACAGGGTGGTTCTATTCACACACTCATTTTTACTTCTCACACACACTTTTTAATTTTCAATCATCGAATCGAATAAACTAAAGAAGATCAATGGACAAAAATTAAGTGTGAAAGGTAAAAAGAGGTGTGTGAATAGCACTACCATTCATAAATTTTATTTTTCTAGCCGTCAGGGTTAAAGTCAGGACTACTCAGTAATCTATACTACCGAAGACAACCCATCAATACATCAGGTATGACTACTTCAGTATGCAATTATGTTATCATTCATATTAATCTCCTATCCGATTTCACAACCATTCTATAATTTCTTTTGAGTCTTTGTATGTGGGGTAGTCATTAGTCCTGGATGGAGTGTTGCAAATATTAACAAGATTACATTATTTCATTTAAGTGGTTTTAAGTGGGGTGTATTACTTAACCATGTCGCACTACATCTAGTTTTTTTCTCCTACAAATAAAAAATGAGTAGGGCCATTGCCCCAGTGAGCTTATAGTAGCTCGTCCCTGCTAACCATGGTGGGTTCAAAACTTCTATAATTCGAGAGGTAATACAAAGAGTGGAGATGCTAACTTTTTAAGATCCTAACTGATATTGTAGTGTTTCATTTATTATTTGTCCGAACCAACTCTATATATTTTTTTTAATTCGTAGCAGATAAGAAGTTTTCTGTTATGTCGAAACAATAGATACCTTAATTAATGGGTTGATCTTTCAAAAATCACATTGTTGAGGTCAAAAGTCTACAAGCACTCGTGTAGGTTAAAATTTTGTCCATTATCTCTCGATAATATAATCCTGATAAATATTATTTATTATCAGGATTGTATGATTATTATTAGAATTAAATTATTAATTGGTATGAGTATTTTTGTTGCTGTATTCTTATACGTATACGGTAGCAAAGATTAGCTAAAGCAAAATCCACCTACATAATTTTAAAAGGGATGATGAACTCAAGGTTTTTTTGGTTATAAAAAAGAAGAAATTAAATATCATTCTCTTGTGTTCTATGTTGCATTGGACTGTACGTACCAGTTAGACTGTACCTCAAGTAATTCTTCTGAAAAGGTTTTGAAACTCTTTAGCATTACGTAGTTGCAATTTTGTAATTTTATCCTCTTATTATTTTTAGACGCCAACAGATTTACTCATAATTCTTTAATAATAACCCAGAAAGTTAAAAGATAGTCAATTCAGAAAATATATATGGATTTTATCAGCTTTAAGATCTTGTCACATTAATTCACACTGAAAATTCAAATCTTAAAACTTAAATTTAGAATGCAACTATTAACGCTTTATCCTTATACGACACTTATGCTGTGAGAAATGTATGAGTTTAACAAACACTTAAAAGGTACACATGTTACGTGCAATGCATAAGAATGACATTTAAGTAAACATGGTGTACGTATCACGTGAAAGTAAAGTGAAGAAGAACAAATTACGCTCACCCTTATTTACTCGATATGATTCTTCAACGAAATGAAATTAAATATACGAGATAGTATTCTTTTTCTGAAGTAAAAGGATACATTGTTGAGGCAGGAAGAGAATATATAATCGTCCGGTGGAAACCTTTGCATGGTTCATATCACAGATAAAATAAAAGAGACAAGGCCGGCCCCGATAGAGACTATCAATTATTCCCTTCATAATTCTTATCCACAAACACAAAAAAGTTCCATTATTCCCTCATGACTTTTCTACCACCACTCACCCTGTGCCCACTATAACCCTAACCTCACCTTTACTTATCAAATAATTAAAATTAATATTAAAATAATAAAGCTCTTTTGTCAAAATGATATTTGAAATTGGCATAATTACTCATTTTGGTATTTGTGATTCAAAATCAATAAAAGCAATCTCTAAGTTTCTTCATTATCCATTATTTTGATCATTTTATTCTTATTTAATGAAAATTTTTCATGAAATGACCAAAATAATTGATAGTAGACAAACAGAAGAACCACTTTTATCGATTTCAATTCTCAAGAAACAAAATGAGGAATTATGTCATTCTTATGAACCATATTATCTACGTCGTGTGTTTTTTATTTTTTAAGAAGTGAAAAGATAATACTTGAATTTATTCAAATTCTGTAAAAAATTAGAATAGAGAGTGAAACAAGCTGTTATGCTAAACTCGAATTTAAATAATATGTAAGAAAAAACTTAAAAGAAAAAAAAATGAAAAAGGAAGAAAAGGAGAGGAAAAGGAGGAGGAAAAGGACTTTTCCAAGGTCCGACGTGTACAAAAATACAGTATAGTGACCGTAGATGACGAGGTATGCGGTTATGCCGAAGCAGCTGTTCGCGCGTTTATTACACGTGGCGCGTGAGCTGGTGGAATTCAACAGTCAACTAGTTCGGAGGAAAAGCATGCTAAATTTGGCTGCAGCTTCCGGATATATTATATACAACAACCAAGTACAGAGAGAAAATCCAAAATTCGGTTTCTTTCTTATTCTTGTTGGGGTTTCGAGATTTTCCACCTATCCAAACAAGAAATAATCATGGCGGGTGAATTTTCCGGGAAAGTGAGTTGTGGGTTATGCTTTTAGTTGCGGATTTCGTTACTTTTTGTCGATAAACAGAGCCAAAGTTTCTTTCTTTCCGTCTTTCTTTCTGCTCCCTCCATCCACCGTAGAAAGAAGGAGAAAAGTCTAGAGAGAGAGAGAGAAATATGATAGCAGCGACGTCGTCGTTATCGTCGTCTTCGGCGAGTGTGGCTGTGGACAAGGCGACGAGCGATCTTCTGATAAGTCCTGATTGGACTATGAACATAGACATCTGCGATTCCGTCAATTCTCATCATTGGTAATTTACATGTATATATGCATATGTAATTCAACTCAAAGCTTTTTGCTTTTAGATTTTTTTTGGGTTTTGTTTGTTTCTATTTGTTTTGGTTTTTTGAGTTGACTTTGTATTTCTATCAGCCTAGGGTTTCTCTGATTGATGGGAAATTTATCAGCTTGATGTTATCTGTGTTACACCAAAACAAAAAGGGTTGTTCTTGAATTTTTTTTTTTGTCGCTATAATTTGTAATTTTGTGTATGGGAGAAATGGAGGGAGAGATTGATGTTGAAGTTTTTGAATCATATTATTGTTGAAGTGTTTGATATTTTTACTTTCTGTAAGTGGATTAAAATTGCTGGAGTGTGTCAATTATTTGGATTGCATAAGTGATTCCAGAAACAGATAAGGGAAATTCGAAGAGGCGGAAAGTTTAAATTTTGACATATATGCAGTTATCTGGTGCAAACCATTTTTAACATTATGCACCATTAATTACTTTCCCTGTTTCTGGATTTATTTTCCTTTTTGGGGTTAGAAACAAATTATAGGGGCTTACGCGCTTTGTACGAAATTATATTCATGGTTTTAGTTTTAGCATAGGCAGACTTATTTCAATCTTGTTCTGTAGAGCCAAGTTATGTGGATGTTTTGTTGCATCCAAGCTTGTTGTAGGTTGTCCTTTTCCTTTTCGTATAACAAAATTCTTATTTGTGGTTGTTCATTGATTGATGTGTGTTAAATTTCTCAGGCAGGCAAAAGATGTCGTAAAAGCTGTTAAGAAAAGGTTGCAGCATAAGAGCCCCAAAGTTCAATTTCTAGCCTTGACGGTATTTATTATTGAAAGCCTTTTATCTTCTTCCAATTTAAGCCATCTGTATGCATTTTTTTTTTTTGGTCCGATAAAATGTTTCCTTAAGTATGGCTAATGGTTTGCTAATCTACTTTTGTAGCTTTTGGAGACAATGGTGAAGAACTGTGGTGATTATGTCCATGTTCAAATTGCAGAGAGAAATATACTAGGAGAGATGGTTAAAATTGTGAGAAAGAGGGTAAGTATTGAATGTGTTGTTGGCCGAGTATTTTGAGCTAGAGAGAAATTTTGGTTATGGTTTTTCGGTTTCTTTTTTGTTAAGCTGTCATTGGAGCCTTTTGTTTTTGTCAATGATTAATAATCTTGAGTCTAGGGAGAGCATTCGTGTATTCAAACGTGTTGCACCGGAAATCTCAAACTTTTCTAGAATATGTATTAACAAGACGGCCTTTAAAATGGTTTTTCTTAGGACTTTGCGGGTTTTAATTCGCACTTTCTTGCTGGTTTATGGTCTTTGTTGAAAGTTATTGACCTCTTTATTCTTTTAGACCTTAGACATGCTGATCTGTACTGTTTGAGGGTGTCATTTTGTATAATCCTGTAAGTGGGTTTCTTTTTAGCGTGTGTTTGGTATTAGAATGATTAGTGGTCAAATGGCGGGTTCTTAGTGGTTTTCAAGGCCTCTCTACGTCTTTGAAAAGCTTTGTTCTTGTGGATTTGATACAAATTTTGAGTTTGATGACAGGCAATGTCTCAATGTAGAATATTCACACTTTTATGACATTTCTTCGCATGACTTATTTACTGCATCTTTATAGTGTGTGTTTATATGATACATCAAAGCCTTTTCACTCAGTTTAAGCATTGTTGGTTGTTGAACCTTTTTTACCCATATGGTGGACATCTTTTTTTTGGCTTTCTGTTTCACCTATTAACCTTTGTTCAATTTGACTCTAATTAGTCCTGCTAGTTTTTCATTGGTTAAGTATATTCAATCTCACCTTGAAACATAAATATGGATTTCAGGCAGATATGCAGGTTCGGGATAAAATCTTGATATTGCTGGACTCTTGGCAAGAAGCATTTGGTGGTCCTGCTGGAAAACATTCTCAGTACTACTGGGCATGCGAGGAACTAAGGGTATACTTTAGCTATCTGGCTCAGCTTTTAGTTTTATGATTATGATAGTATTTAATAAAAGTACACTGCATGAATGACAGCGTTCCGGAGTAGAATTTCCCAGGCGTGCATCAGAAGCAGCTCCAATATTTACACCACCTGTTGCACATACAGGATTGAGGCACGCTCAAGCTGGATACGGAATGCCTAGCAATTCCTCAAGAAGGCTCGATGAAACAATGGCTACAGAAATGGAGAATCTAAGGTGAGTTTGACTCTACTTTTGATTGTTTGCCCTTACTGTTCCCCCGTTCTGCATTTGTTAGTGCTCTTGTTAAGGATTTCTTTAAGATCAATCTTCTGTTCATTCCTCTGCTTGATTTTTCTTTTGAATATTTTTAGTTTGTCAAGCCTGGATTCTATGAGGAATGTTATGGAGCTCTTAGATGACATGCTGCAAGCTGTGAACCCTAGTGACCGTTTGGTATGAGGAACTATGATGTTTTCAACTTTTTCCTCACAACTTATGGGTAAGATATTTACCTTTAGTTTCTTTGTTTGTAGGCCATAAAAGATGAAGTGATAGAGGAGCTTGTCAACGGATGTCGTGCCAACCAGAAAAAACTGATCCATATGCTAACTACAACTGGGTGAGAGAACATGTTTAACGTCACTTCTTTTTCCTAATTAACAAGCCCATAAAACATACTCAAGCAGTGAATATTTAACGTTCCACATTTTTGGTAATGTCTAGAGATGAAGAACTTCTTGCTCGGGGTCTTGATTTGAACGATAGGATGCAAAGTCTGCTTGCAAAACATGATGCTATAGTTTCTGGTTTGCCTGTGCCAACTCAAGCTACAAGCTTTAGTCCCCAACCGACTGAAAAGTTTGCGTCTAGTTCCAAGCAGACTGAAGTAAAAGAGTCCAGCACAAGTGACTCTAGTCCAAGACCTAATGCTAATGTATCTGCACCAGTTGGTACCATGGCCAGGATCCAGATTGATGAAGACGAAGAAGAGGAAGATGAATTTGCACAGCTAGCTCGAAGGTTTGTGCATGACTGGACATCTTTCTCTGTTTTCTATTTCTTTTTTTATAGGTCATAGAAATGCCTTTTCTTATGTCAATGGTTTCCCACCATTGCTGGGTTTAGTTTTGCCATTTAGTGATTTAATGATAACTTGCATAAAGTAGTTTTGGTATACCTCGTATCTATCTTAATCTCATAGTATGGTGAAAGTTAACTCACAAGTGTTGCACTTATTTTATGGATGCAGGCATTTTAAACCACGGTCAGTGCCTCCTCAAAACACATCTAGTGGAAGTAATGATAATTTGGCGTTGGTGAGCACCAGCAGCACAATAGATCCATCAGCCACAACATCTGCTCCAAGCAATGCATTAGTTCTGGCTGATCCACCAGCACCAGTTAAGACAACAAAAGAGCAGGACATGATCGACCTTCTGAGTATCACTTTATCAACAACAGCTGCCTCCCCAGACACCACCCCTCACGCCCCAGCATCTGACCCTCACACCACGCCAGACCCGCACACGGTTCCAGCATCTAATGGTAACACACATCAGGAGCCTGTTGCCCCCACCATACAAGGAAATCCCTATCCTTCCCAGCCTTATCCAGGAAATCCCGGGATGGTACCCTATAACAGCTATGTTGTTCCATGGGCACAAGCACAACCTCAATCTCAACTGCAACAGCCACAGTTCCAACCGCAATCACAATTTCAGCCTCAGCCTCAATTCCAGTCACAGTTTCAACCTCAATATCCTCAATACCCGACTGCCTACCCTCCTCCACCGTGGGCAGCTTCACCGGGATATTCTAGCCAAAACCATTTTTCCGCCAATAATACATTTTCCACTCCTCGTGCCAATACAACCACATCTTATAGTCCAGCACAATCAGCTAGACCTTTGCACCACTTCAATTCGTTCCCTGCAAGGGGAATGAATGGGATAGATAGCAACGGAGGTTCAACGAGCCCGAGTCCTAGGAGCCCTGCCCCTGCAGCAGGACAAAAGCCCTACATTCCCTCATACCGATTATTTGAAGATCTGAATGTGTTCGGCAATGCAGATGGAAAGTTTAAGATGACAAGCAGCAATACATCATCTAGCTTGTCTGGAGCTGCCGGCCAAGGTATGGTAGGTGGGAGGAAGTGAGATACTGTCGTACAGATTACGAACCGGGATGCAGCTTTGTGAATATATCCTGTATATCAGTGTCTGCGTCGTCTTCCGGTTTGTGATATATTCGGATTTCGTTAGATTGGTATGCTTTATTGATTTGCAGTTGTCATCGGTCACCATTTGTGTGTCGCTTTTCAGCAGAATCATTTGACCCTAAAGACTAGCATTTTTCTTCATAAACTAAGGTTTTTAATTATATTGAAATGAAGTCAATAAGCCTTTAATCCTCAGAATGTTTATAGCTCTATATATTTTTGAGCATTCAGAATTTCGGATTCTCCGCTTCAAATTTTACTTTCGTTGCCTTTGAGCAAAAGGCGTAACGCGAGGAGTTTTATGGATTGCCGAGGTAGTCGCGTTTTAGATGACTTGGCTGCGTTCGTGATCCGAATGAGAGAAGTGAAGAAAACAGCTATCCAAGTGAAGAGAAAGTCAAGGGTCAAACTAAGTGACACTTGTCAATAGATAAATAGATGAGCTATTAGAAGTTGTTACAAGTTGTTAGAATTACGGTTGAGACAAGGAGGAAGAATAGTTGCCAATATTAGCTTAGTAAGAAAGAATATATAACAGCTCATTTATTTATCCATTGACAAGTGTCACTTAGGTATTATGTAACCTTCATAGATGAATGTACTCAGATATACATGGGTTTTCCATTGAATAATAAGTCAAAAGTTTTTACAACATTTGTGCATTTTTTATGCTTATTTGGGTACTCAATTTTCTGCACAACCAAAAAACTTACAAAGTGATGGTGGGGGTGAATATGTAAGCACAAAGTTTCAACATTTTCTATCACAAAAAGGCATGTTACATCAAAAGTCTTGTCCCCACACCCCAGAACAAAATGGGTTGGTAGAAGGGAAACATAGACATGTTGTAGAAACTACAATTACATTACTTCAAACTGCACATTTACCTACTAAATTCTAGTTGCATGCTGCAGCAATATATTTGATCAACAGAATGCCATGTGCTATTTTAAAAATGATATCCCCTTATCAATTATTATTTCACAAGATTTCAAATATTAGGCATTTGAAAATCTTTGGTTGGGCATGTTTTCCACTGATTACAACATACAATAGCTCCAAACTGCAACCAAAAACAAAAACTTGTGTCTTTCTAGGATATGCAGATCACTATAAAGGGCTCATTTGTCTAGACATTATCACTCAAAGAATTTATATATTCAAGCATGTCTTGTTTGATGAAACAACTTTTCCATAGTTTAATGCAGCACCATTACCCAATTTACCAATGTCATCACCTGCAATTTCACATGAGCATTCTCCAAATCCTACAATAGCATCCATTTTATTACAAAATCAAGCAGTGTCACATGCATCTCATACTCATTCATCAACATCTATAGCCACAGATCCATTGAACTTGCATTCATCTAGTGCCTTAGATTCTTTGACTGCATCCAAAGCCTCAGCTTCCTTGGATACACTTGCATCTAGTGACTCAGAGTTTATTCATTCCCCTTCACAAAGCTTAAATGTAAACCTTGGTTCTCATTCTCCTACACAATATCCCGTTCCTGTGGATCCTGATTTTCAACATGAGCAACTACAAGTTATGTTACCATACCTATGAATATTCACCATATGTAAACAAGGTCCAAAAATGGAATATTCAGAAGAAATGCTCTCTCTACATCTATAAGCTATTCTCAGGCATCCATCACATAACCAAAATCATTCAAAGCAGCTTCAAAAGTTTCAGAATAGCAAGATGCCATGAAAGAAGAAATTAGTGCTCTACATACACAGAAGACATGGTCTCTAGTTCCATTGCCACCTGACAAGAACTTAGTTAGATGTAAATGGGTATACATAATTAAGAGAGATGCAAATAGATCTATTGCAAGGTTTAAGACAAGGCTTGTGGCAAAATGGTATAGCCAGGAAGAAGGAATTGACTATGTAGAGACTTTTAGTCATGTGGTGAAGCCTACAACTATAAAGTTGATCCTTGCATTAGCTACACAATTCAATTGGCCCCTCAGACAAATGGATGTAAAAAATACATTTTTGCGTGGAGTTCTTCAAGATGAGGTGTATCTAGAACAACCTCCAGGATTTCAAAGTTCAGCACATCCACCAAGTTATGTTTGTAAATTACAGAAGTCTCTATATGGACTTAAACAAGCCCCCAGAGCCTGGAATGACAGGTTCACAAGTTTTTTACCAAGCTTCGGATTCAAAGCTTCACAAGCTGATCCCTCTTTGTTTGTTCAGCATTCATCCAAAAGCAATGTGGTCATACTGTTATATGTTGATGATGTGATACTTACTAGTAGTAGCTCTGAGCTAATTTCAAATGTGATTACAAGCTTCATAGATGAGTTTGATATGAAAGACTTGGGACAACTAAACTATTTCTTGGGGTTACAAATCAATTATACACCAAAAAGGGCTATTTTTATCACAGACAAAGTATATCAATGAATTGGTTGAAAAAGTTGATTTGTAGGATTGTAAGCCTTATGCTACACCATGTTTACCATATCATAGATTACTAAATAATGATGGAAAAACTTACCATAGCCCTGAGCAATACAGAAGCATTGTTGGAGCTCTTTAGTATCTCACATTTACAAGACTAGATATAGTATTCTCAGTGAATCAAGCATGTTAGTTTCATGCACAATCCTATGGAATCCCATGTTATTGAAGTAAAAAGAATCACAAGATATCTCAAAGGAACTTCAAGTTTTGGTATTCATTTCAAGCCAGGACCAATACATTTACAATCATATATGGAGATCCAAATGAAAGAAGATCTACTTCATGTTTTGTTATATTTCTTGGTTCAAATCCAATCTCTTGGGCATCAAAGAAGCAACACACAGTTTCAAGGTCCTCCACAGAGGCTGAGTACAGAGCTTTAGCAATCACAGCTGCAGAATTGGCTTGGGTTAGACAGTTGTTTTGTAATTTACATGTTCCCATTCAACTCCCTCCAATGATCTATTGTGATAACATCTCAGCCATTGCACTTTCAACCAATCCAGTGTTTCATGCCAAGTCCAAACACATTGAGATAGACTATCATTTTGTAAGGGAACGGGTTACTAGAGGTCATCTTCTTGTTCAACATGTATCCTTTGCTGAACAATCAGCAAATATACTTACAAAAGGGTTGTCAGCACCTTTGTTTCAACAACACTGTGGCAATTTTATGCTCAGTTCACTTGAGCATACGATTATGGGGGGAAATAAAGATCCAAGTGAAGAAAACAGCTATCCAAGTGAAGAGTAGATTAAGGGCCAAACTAATTGACACTTGTCAATAAATAAATAGATGAGCTGTTATAAGTTGTTACAAGTTGTTAGAATTACAGTTGAGATAAGGAGGAAGATTAGTTGTCAATATTAGCTAACTAAGAGAGAATATATAACAACAATTGTAATCATAACTTGAGTATCAAGATATCAGTATCAAGCTTTCTCAATACCAACAGCAGTAACCTCAGTGACCAAAGTCAGCAGGAACTTCGCGTCCTCAATGATAGGTCTCATAGGAGAGACGTTCATAGAAGGATCCCGAATCGTTAAAATAGTCTGAAGCGAATCACTTTCAAGAATAATCTTGTGTAAACCCCTTTCTTTCACCAACTCAAGCCCTTCTCGGACAGCCAACACCTCAATTTGGAGCGTAGAGAAAACATTTTTAATGATGCGAGTGGCAGTAATCATACATTTGCCTTGAGAATCCTTGATGGCGATGCAAATTCCACCGAGGCTGAGATCTTCGAGCCAAGCACCATCAACATAACTTTCAGCAATCATAATGTCTGAATGCTTTAAAATGTCATGATCATGCTATATTTAAGCCGTCAAGCCTGTTGTACGCTTGGTAAATTCGTGCTCCTACTAGATTTGCACAATATAATTCATTAAATTGAACCAGAGCGAGTGGCTCAGTGGTAAAGGTGTAGACTGCGGTTCCCCAATAAACAAAAAAATGTGGAAGGTCCCGGGATTGATGCTCTGAGCTGGTGAGTCTGCTTGACTGTAGTCACGGGCATGATGAAATTCCCCATAGCCTCACTGGGCTCGAAAATGGTGGATAACCGTAACTTGCCACCAGTTGTCCAGCCTTCAAAAAAAAAAAAAAATTCATTAAACTGGACGTTTTTAAAACTCTAATGTACTTTACACATATAATAGGCATACGTACTATATATATTTAATACACGTTATGTTGATACGTTTTTTAATAATGAGTTTTTAACATATTGAAAATTAATAACTTAAATAAATAATTTTAAAAATGTCTAGACATTTTATGCAAATTTATTGAACAATACACGTGCGTATTTTCACTTTGAAATGGTCAATTTTCTCAATTTTAGAAATATGAAGCCAAAATTGATCACCAATGTTGTCAATATTTAATAAATATGTCAATTGTTTCAATTTTTATTTTTATTTTTATTTTTTTTTTTGGCAACAATCAGACTTTGTGAATTCCACACTCCCGCCATTTTCCAAGAAAATATAAAACTCAGTGCCATAATAATTTTTGCCCAGGAACACAATAAGGTACATTTCGTTAGGGCACAAGTGTCTGAGGACAAAACATAGAACAAACACAAGGGAAATGACTCATGAGTTAATTACAAGTTACATGACGATTAATTCCAAGGGCAGCGCGGCCTAAAACCTCAACAGAAAACATTACATGATGAGCAAACGTGAGATTATTGAATTCAACACAAACATAATTACCCGCATCAACATCTACGATTATGATCAATTAATGTGCGTTGTTTTTACAAATCGAACAAAGGGAAAGGGGAAAAAATGAACACACCAAAACGAAAAGGATATTTACATGCATTTACCCTGTACGACAGATTATTTTCCAGAGCCTCCAATAAATATGCAGGAATTTATTCCCCACAACTGTGACCCTCTATGCCGGAGGCTAACGAATATTATAGCATACACAATCGGTAGAAAGCAACGTACCGATGCTTCAAGATCAACTCATTGACGTTGAAGAAGAATCGGGGCAGTGGAATGTTATATCACACAATGGTCCGAATGCCATCCCCGAGTGATATGCAACGGCAAGATTGGAATTGAAGTCGATCCACTTGCACTGCCTTCATTTTGAAAGAAAGCCTTATCAAACCGTGAGGATAGAATTACAATTCTCATCTAGCTTGAGAGTTGTCGTCGGCATAAATGGATGCGCAAGCATCTGCAGC